TGGACTTGCCAGGTGACCAGCTTTCACAGAATTATAGAATAGTTAGGGTTGGAAAGGACCTTAAGATCATCTAAATCCAACCCTCCTGACATGGGCAGGTATGCCTCACCCTAGACCATGTTGCCCAAGGCTCTGTCCAGCCTTGACTTGAACACTGCCAGAGATGAAGCATTTACCACTTCTTTGGGCAACCTGTTTCAGTCCCTCACCACTCTCACAGTAAAGAATTTCCTTCTTATATCTAAACTGAACTTCTCCTGTTTAAGTTTAAACCCATTCCCCCTTGCCCTATTGCTACAGTCCCTGATGAAGAGTCCTTTTCCACCATTCTTGTAGGCCTCCTTCAGATATTGGAGGGCTGCTATGAATTTTGGTAGGCAAACTTGATTGCTGAATTAGTATTCCCAGTTATCTAATGTTTTTGTGGTAAAGAGGTATACAGGTATGTAAAATGCTCATAGTTCTAAAAGTGTGTGATGCACAAAGAGCTATCTTGAACAGACTGAAGTTGAGCACTCAAAAGGCAGATGGGGCCAGACTAAAGGACACCTGTGCAACTTTAAGTCCATCTTCCTTTACATGTGCACACATGAAAACACTCTTTAGTTACTGCTCAAAACCTAGGTTTTTTTTTGTTTTGGTGGGGGTGGGTGGGAGTTTGTTTAGGGGAATTTTTGTTTTGTTTTGGTTTGGGTATTTTTTTTTTTTTCCTTTTACAGGTTTGTCCCATTTAGTGCACAAAATCATTATTTTATTTTTCAATGAGCAAAATGGTATTTATTTTACTGTGCCATTCACATAGCCACGGACTTTCCTGCTGTAACCTATTTAACTCCAGCTTTGAGAGATACCAAATTTCTTCATGGGCTTATCACCACTGTATGCATACTATGAAAGTGACTTCCATAATATTTCAAAGTGTGATCTCCCTATGAAAAAAGGATCAAGAATTATCTTCATTTCACACCTGAGAAATTGAGGTGTGAAGAGAGTAAGGATTGGATGACTGTAGTAATCCAACTTAATCTATAGCAAAGAAAGTGAGAAAAGGTGCCAGGTGACCTTAACAGGCTGAGCTGTAAATTGAAATGGTTCAGCAGCTGCTTCAAAGCCACCTCAGACATACCCACAGCAATGGCTCTTGGCTAGGGGCAGTAATCGCTCATTAAAATTGTCTTCAGCCAGGAATAAGAGGCCTTCAAAATACAGCTATCACTGACCTTACCAATGGAACAGACTGCTCAGCACTGCCAACATCAAGAACAGTCAGATGTTCTGAAAACAGCATAAATGAGTAGAAAACCATCTTTTCAGCAGTGGTAAAGGACTGGTCAGAGGATGTCTCTCAGACCTCTGATACAGAGACAGGGATAGAGTCCCTTGGCAGCTCTCAGCTGTGCTTCCCTTAAGTCATTTCTTTGCAAACTTCTCATTCACAACACATTCAGACGTGTTGTCACATCTGAAACAGATGTGTTGTAGAACAGTCTATGGCTGCCAGGTTTGATGCATCCCTATGCAAATCCACCTGAAGTAGTGAGTAGAAGAAGGAAATCCTGTGGAATAAGCATTATGTGAATATGTAACTAGATCCTCTATCATGGCTACATAATCAGAATTTAAGTGAGCTAAGACAGCATTGCCAAAATTAATTCTGACTTTGGATAATAATTTAGCACCTATCTTACTGTTTTACTACCTTACTATTTAATGTAGTTTTCAGTATATTTTTAAATATATTCAGCATATTTTTAAAGCCCCAGGAAAAAATATAGAGAAAACACTTGTAAGAAAGTGGCCTGACCACAGCATGGAATAGCAGTGTGGAACAGGTGGGTCTACACTACAGCCTCTATTGTTTGTATTCATGGAGGGAGTAACTGCATCAGTAAGATGCTTTCATCCATGTAAGCCATCATTTTGTCAGTGGATCAGCTATGAAAGACATCTAGCAAGTAATGGTAGGGGTATGCTCAGCTATCTTTGTCTCTTCCTAGCAGAGGTCAGTGTACTTAAATTGTATGCAACTTTTGACCCATTTCCTCAGCCTTGATGTCTTCTGCTTTTACAACCTTTGTTTCTTCCTTACAAGAGCTGTTCTTCATACACTCTTAAGCTTTCAAGCACTGTCCCTCATCACTTGGGTGACATGGTTTAGTGTGAGGTGTCCCTGCCCATGACAGGGGGTTGGAACTAGATGATATTAAGGTCCTTTCCAACTCCATCTATTCTATGATTCTATAACACTATCATGCTCCCCCAACTGTCCCCACTTCTCATTTTGCCACAGTCTCTAGTCCATCAGGTTTCCAAATCCCAGTTCTCAACTCCCTCTTGGGGCTTCTTGCTTAAAGTCCATATTTTCCTGCCCAACTGGCTACTCATCTCCCCAGTTGATCTCATTTCCCTTGCTTTTTCCCCATCTTGGGTCTTTGTCCTGGACTTCTCTCCTCGGGGCCTTTGTCTTAGTGTTTTTACACCAAGTTTTTACACGTTAGTCCAGACCCAGTGTACTCAGTCCTCATCAGGACCATTCTTTCCCTCCTTTGTACCTCACAGTCCATCTTACGTGTTCACTGCATAGAAGTCGGGATTTTTCTGGCAAAGGTGCAATATTAGCTTAAAGAGATTCTTTGATCCCAGTTGTAATAACCAAGGTCTGCACCAGTAAGTAAAGCAGGTTATTTCCCTATTTAGGTTTACTTGTCAAGAGCGAAGTAAAAGGACATAGTCTCACCTCTAAGTTTCAAATCTCTACTTCATAGTACAGGCAAAACAGCACAAAACTATGGAAAACAGTCACAATTAGCTGAACATATTTCAGCTCACAAATGAAATCCTCCCTCTTCTTACCTTCAACAAAACGTGCCCAAGGCAGAGATGTGACATGAACAGTTTCTGTGGTGTGGTGGAGTCATGCTGCAAAGGAGAGCTGGCTCCTGTGAGCAGAGATCTGTCTATGCTTCTTTCCATCGTTTACCCCCCAGCACAATCAGTTCTACCCCATGCCTTCATTATGGACAAGGAATAAAGATGGCACATCAGTCAGGCTCAGGTGTAAACCTTCAGTACAGTTATGTAGCTCAGGAGTTTTGTCTTGTACATCTGGTTCTATCATTCAGACTCAAATGAGCTCCAGCAGTGGGTCTCAAAGTGCAGTTGAGCAATGCAGCATTCAGAGGCATGGCTATTGGACAGTGATGGACAAACAGTACAGTAGCCATAGGAAGAAAAAAAAAGCCATTTCTTGGAGTTTCCGTTTTCCTGGTCCTAGAGCACAGACCTGACCTGTCCCTCCAAACAGACTGCTTGGTCCCCAGCTCCACCTTTCCCAGCGGAGCATTTCTGAACACTGGTGGGGCAGGGTGAGCTGGGCACTGTCCATCCCATGCTTCACACTGTACCTTATGATAAACGTGGCAGGGGAGAGAACATCCTCCCAAACGTCAAAATGGAAACTGACCTGTACAGTGGTCTTCTACTTACTGATTTGCAGGACCAAACCAGCAGAGGTGATTACAACTAAACCCTAAGGGATGTTTGTAAGTGAAAGTGGATGTTTCCTGAATGAACTTTATAGTTCAGATTTACTGCACCACTTAGATCAGGCTTCGATTATTACCTTCTTATCATATTTTATAATAATTTTTGTATCACATATATTTTTGCAAAATGAACCCAAGTTACAATTTTTAATGTATTGAAAAGCTGACTTGAAAGTTTATGTTAATTATTTGGGTCTAATTACATTTTTATTCTTTTTAAAAGCACTCTTAATCCAACTGACAAAAAAAAAAACAACAAAATCTTTTTGTTTTAAAAAACAAAAGGATGGAGCCAAAATATGCAAGATATTCTGCTAGCATTCCACTTACAAAAAAATAAAAGCTAAGTATATTTTCTAACAAAGCTTACACAAATTATTCCCACTTTAATTAAATCCCTCTTTGCTGGAAACTAACAAAATGCCCATTAAGAGCACAAGACAGTTATTATCTTTCAATCTTTCTGCTTTTTATATATTACCTAAGTTTCAGTGACTCTTGCTGCGTTATCCACCTCTCTTTTAAAGAACATACTCTGTAACCATAGCAATACTTTCCCACCCTGGTATTATTTCCCGCTGGCTTGTTCTAGGCTTTTGCACATAGCAACAACAACAATCCTTGGTCCAAACTGTCAACTTCTTCTTGGCAACTCTTAGCAAAATTAGCGTATCTGTAAACTTCCAAGTATATGGCTTTACATTTTCAAAAGATTAATACGTATGTTCTGAACAAATTGCATATTTCTAATCATAACACTACTTTGTATGATACTTTAATACCACAAATACTAGATGTCGAAATTCTAGATGCTATCTTCTAATTTTATCATTTTCTACAGAGCAATACACCAGTTTCTCCTTAGATAAAAAGCAATGAGCAGCTTTGTAACATCTCACATTTTTTCACTGAGCTCACAACAAAACATTAAAACCTACCCCATTTTTAACTGAAGTCATGTGGAGGAACACCATCTATACTGTTTCCACTCAACCAGTTGGACTTCAGGTTCACAAAGGCAGCACTAATTCAGCAAGGACTGAGACATATGTTTTAATTTTGTCATCTAAGTACTCACATAGCCCACCAAAGTCACAGTATGCACCAAAGCATTTAATGACTATACTACAGAGGGCTGATTTTAGTCATGTGCATAGTTTTTTAATGGCACACATGTAAGCAGCCATACTAGCTTGACTTACAGGTGAAGTTATTTGCAGAAGGACATGCATCAGAAATACAGCAACTCCAAGTTAAACGGCCCCAGATTCCTTATATTAGTTCACCACTCTTCATCATGTAATACCACTAAGTTTCTTAAGTCTAAGCTGATTATCAATGCCTGTACTGATCACTGCTTTACTGTAGAATTTAGAACTGATTTTTTTTTTTTCTGAAAAATTAAAAAGCACATGACAGAACAAGGTCTTCAAAGAAGCTTATAACTAACTGAGGTTGATTTTGTTGAACACCTTTTCCATAGTATTTTAATTTGAGTTAGTTTTCATAAGGTGAATAGTAAGGATACACACAGTGAATCGTGGTGAAGCAGCACAAAGTACATGTGGGGGCAACGGTGATTTAATAGGAGTGTATTACTGTACATCCTCTCTCCACACATTCTCATCCCACTGCAATCAATAAGACTTTTGCCATTGACTTCTCTGTCAAATTTGCATCGCTGTTCTTTATTTGTTCATATGAATCAAACCCAGCAATATTCCCTTAGTATGTTCTCTGTAGCGGGAGTTCTGGAAGAGGAATTAGATACATAAACCAACTAAAATTACAAATCACCTAGTGAGAGAGGCATTACCATTGAAGAAAAAACTTTATTCCTCAGTCACAAGGATAAAAACAATGACAGGAAGTTGGATTGGTGTTTTATATATATATACTTACATACACTCCTATGTATATGTGTGTGTGCATATATAAAATATATACATGCACATAAAACATGTGGGATATGTATTTAACAAATATTCAAATGGTCCAATACATTTGTGAGAGCTTGAGAAGAGAAAGAAGAGAAAAAGAAGACAAAGAGAGAAGACGAAGAGAGAAGATGAGAGAAGATGATAAAAGAATAAAAGAAGAAAAGGAGAGGAGAGGAGAGGAGAGGAGAGGAGAGGAGAGGAGAGGAGAGGAGAGGAGAGGAGAGGAGAGGAGAGGAGAGGAGAAGGAAGATTACAGATGACTTTTCTATGCCAACTGTTTTAAGTGTTGTTGGGTTAAAGCATATTCTCATTTATGGACATAATCACCTTTGTGTAAATATGCAATTCATCTACAAGTATGAGCCAGCTGGGGCTGCACACTAGAGGAATATACCCCAGCCAAATGGGCCAATATAGGATGACATTCCTGCTAAAAAAAAAAAAAAAAGCCAAACCAAACCACAAACATAAGAAACAACACACACAAAAAATCCCCCAAACAACTAAACCCCAAAACTTTACATCATTGTTGCCTGCTTGTTTTTAATAGAAGGAATTAGGTCTTTATGCACATAGAAGATAAAATAAGAGTCTAGATTTTTGAAATGGAAAAGAAATAAAGTGATATAATTACTTTTATGATAACATCTAAAAAGAGACAAAAGGAAGTTATACTTTGTTATTTTGGTACTTTGCCTAGCAGAAACATTTATTTATAAGTAGTTGTAATAAGATTTACTTAGGCTTTCTTTTTAAAGAAAAAGGTGAGAATATGAAATTAATATTTCCTGCAATTTAACTATGATTACTAAAAGATTAACAGAAATACAGAAAAGAGATGGCAATTTTGTCCCCACGGAGCCTCAAAATCAAGGTTGTTATACTAAAGCAAAGTGCCCTATCATTGTACAGTAAATTACTATTTTGTCCTTTATCAGCTGGTACGCTAAATTTATGAGAGGATTTCCAGACAAAATTCTTCAGCTGAGGATCACAAATTATAAGAGAAAAAAGGAAATAACTACATTTTCTGTTTCTATAAATGAAGGAGGTAATAGATTTATTAAATTCTGATTAAAATTACATTTTTTAACATGTTGATCAAATGCACCATGAAAACCAAGCATTACTGGATTTGTTTTGTTTTATGAGAATACAGTGGGAAACCCATTCACTCCTATCAAAGATTTTCTGAATGTACTGACCTCATTGGTCTATTAACAAAAGTGCAATTACATTTTATTCTAAAATAATCAAACTATTCTTCCTTGCTATAGCAGTTATTATGTTTTCAATGTACACATTTTGGTTAAGTTTTTTTATATCCTGAAGACACTATTCTCTTAGAAGTCACCATCCTCATTTAGAAAAGCATGGCATTTTGATGATTCTTCATTTGATTTACAGAGAGACTTCAAGGAGATAGAGTCACTGAGATTAATTTTCAATTTTAAAATTGTAACTCAATCCACAAGGGTAATGAAAATAGACTTTTAAAATATATTAATTTCTGTACACTTACAAAGGATTTACAAGATTTTAAAATAATAACACTTGGCAAAGGTGCTCTTTCTCCAGCCACAAAAAATAACTTTGAAAACTTTTGCAGGAATCTAAAAATATAATTCTAAAAATAAAATAATAAAAAGCTTTAATACTTGAAAGTCAGGTGAAAATAAGGTATCTTTTAATTTTGTTTCTGTTTACAGCACTTTAAGTTGGCATGAGTTTATCAAGACTTCAAAACCATCTTTAGGCACCATCTTCTGTCTCTTCTATAGATAGATCTTAATTACACTCTTTATTCCTTGCACGAAGTTTCCCTCTCTTGTTCTTCCTTCCTGTGTTTTAGAGACCATTAATATTTATCCTTTCTTTCAAGAGGATAACTGTGCACAGGTCTATCATTTGGAAGTCATGAAAGTCTTATTTTTAATATTTTTGCTTTTTTTTTTTTTTTTTTTACAACTCGCAAATAGTGTCTTAGTTTTAATTGTAAAGGCCCCATTACAGTTACCTTTCAGACAATTTAAATGCTTCCCCATAAACTAAGAATGAGAAATGGTTGGTGGAAATTTAGAAGGATGTTTTTTCCTTTCCAGTTTTCTGAAGCCTCTGAAGCTTCTTTCCAAAAATCTGCTTTAACTGGATCTTGTACAGGCACAGCAAATGACCCAAGAAGCATTGGAAAAATTCAAACAGCTAAAAGAATCAAAACAGGAATGAGCTCTGTGACAGATAGCAGGTATTTGGGGAAATTAGAGAGTATTCTTTGCTTGTAAATCGATTACTTAAAATATTTCCTTTGTAGCCCATTCTTACTGAAAACATGTGAAACAAAACCACAAATAAACCAGCTTTGAAACTTGCAACCCCAAATCTAAGCAGAAGGAAGACAGTCCTGTTTAGAACAACACATTAACCATTGTAGATGCAGCGTTCCTATTAGAATGTATTATCACACAGTATCCAAGTTTATCAATCCTGGCCTCAATTCAAATATGCAGTTAGATGCCTTACTAAGTGCTTCGCTAAATTGAGCCTTTAATGCTATTTAAAACTAACTTAATATAGAAAAGAGGTATAGATTAACTGACACGTCTACTACCTTTTTTGCTTCAATCGCTTCTATTTAAGTGATTTAAGTGCACCACTCTCTGGGGAACATAAAAATGGGGGAGCAGGAGGGGAAGGGGGGAAATCCCAATAAGTTGTGTTTGACCTGAAATTGCAAATTCAAGCACAAGACCATTTCAGACTTCAGACTGTCCGATTCTTGTAGTTTCATGTAATACATTCACTAGTTAAGTCTTACTCCTTGTTACTCCTTAATAGTGCTTGTGCCTTTTATTGACCTTCTCACAGCAAATTGTCTAAAACTGGCTTTGAATGACTGTGTGGCTCCTGGAGTTGATCTGGAAATCTAGAAAACAAGACATGCACCAGCATTTGGGCAGCTGGCCACAAAAATGACAGTTTTATGCAGGAACTCTGTGGTACAGGCAGCACTGCCAAAATTCAGCTCACTCTCATACCATCTGATGTCTTGACCATGAGACCCTCCTCTGTCTTTGTCCAGTGCCTTGTCATTCACACTTTCCCACTCTTGTGACAAGAAGAAATTTAGAGATGAGATGTTCCTAAAGTACAGTACATGCACCATTAGTGGGATGCTGGCTACTTTAAAATGATAAATGAAGGCTGCCTGCACAGCCTAGCACCTCCTTTGAAGTACATGGGAAGCTTGTATGAAGCCAGGAACTGCTGCCACACTGCTGGCTCACTGCAAGGGTACAAAAAAAGTGAACCCCCTACCTAGGGATCTTCTAAGAGAGGGCGCTAAACATATGTTAGGTCCCAGAGGCTGTTGCCATGAGTGCTGTTGCCCAGAAGAGGGGAGTTGAAGACAGAGGCAGCTGGCAGGAACCCCTGGGAAGAGAAGGTTGCCTAGGGCAGCCAAGTGTCTGCTAGAGCATTGTGCAAACAAACCATCTCAGAATATCTGTGATCTTCTCACTCACTACTTTTCCCTGATTCATTCCATAAACACCATTGTTTCATCACAGGTGTGTTTCTTCTGGGGAAAAAGCCCCACCAACAAACCAAAAAACAAAACCCACCCCAATACTTACCATTTATTAGAAGATTTTGCACAAACATATACATCCAAGGAAGCAGAATTAAAGTAACACATGCAACCTTGATTTCAGCCAACCCTTGAGTTCTGGTGGCCTGCCTCTGCCCCCTTAACGTGTCTTTTGAAGTGCATTGTGTATATGCAAAGTTACTTCAACTTTAGAAGGAAAAAAATGAATCACAGATCAAACCAGGAAGTCAAATTCCATTTTTTGTGGCAACCTATTCACAAGTGCACACCTGAGAGAAAGAGTAAGAATATTAACACTCAGCTCTGTTGCTTGAATCAATCAAGAAACCAGCGCATAGGCATCATCTTTTGCAGTACCCTAGACTAGGCAAGCAAAAAGAACCCATAAATCCTGTGTTCCAGGCAGGGTACTGGAAAGCAAAAGCATCCAACAGCTAATGACCTCCCCTGCCATCTTGTCGTCATTATCACTCTGCCTCAACATTTCCCTTTCTTGTGTTGACAGCAAGTCTGGTCCTATTTCTTTCTTGCCTGTTTTGCTGTTTATACTTGACACAGGAATCAGAATGGCGACCAAACGTCACTTACCCATCCTCCTCTGCTGCATGGTCCTTAGGAGCCTGCCAGGGTGTTGGACAAACATGAGAGGGTCTACCTTATCCATTCATCCATTCTTGAACTGAAATCAATGGGACTCACTGGTGCATTTAAGAATAGATGTGCTAATACATAGTAGTATGCAAAATACACTCACATACCCTGTCTTTCTTTAACCTTATGTTTTCTATATTTAAAGAGGCTTAGCTCCCTTTATTTTTACCCTATTTTCTGCCCCCTCTGCCAAACAGAAGACACATCCACAACCAAGTAAGTCGACATTCCCCAACATACAGTTTGGGTTGAGACAGAACAAAAGAAATAACTTCTTCCAAGTGGTACACAGTGCAGTCCTGGAGTCAGAGCAATTAGGCCTACAACTGACAAAAGAAAGTGACTTCACATCCCAGCTGAAGAGAGCAAATGGAACAAGATGTAATGCAAGAATGACACAGCTGGAAACAAAACAAAGACATGCCATTTTTCATAATAATGCAGATGTTAAGATATTCAAAATATTTTTAGCATGTACTGGGGAACACAAAAAAAGAAAAACCCTATTGGGAATAGCAGTCCAGATCTACATTGTTCCCCTGTTTTTCATGAAGTATACAATAGTGTGATTCCTTTCCTTTCTGTGAATTTAAACACTTAGCTCTGACACAAATTTGCAATTTTTCCAGAAAAATATCAGCGTGTTCACTATTTTTAAATATATTCTACAGAATTTTAGCTGAAGCAACCTGTTCAGCTCTCGACAGTGGTTTTCTGCTTTCAGATGCCTTAATAGTTTGAAGACTGATCTCCTCTCAGTAATTCTGAATTCTAATATTTTGCACACTTAAGTCGCAAAAACTCAAAGTAACATAACTCAAAGTTTGCATCGTTTATTTTTAGGTCAATTTAACACTGCAGGACTTGATCATGTGTATACACTCCATCGTTTATCATCTTTTTCCACTGCCCTCTCCTCCAGAAATCGAGTTTATCTACAGCTGGGAAATCTTCACATCCTTTAGTTGCTGAGAAAGTTACCTGCTCCTTCTCTGTTACATTTGACCAGGCCTTCTGCATACACACTAATAAACTATACAGTAAAAGACAATGACCAGTTTTACCATGACAGTAGTTCTGCAGTCCCAAGCCATACCAAATTGTAAGAACTTGTGCCTTGCTTACTGTCACTCTGGGCCATCCTGCCTGAACGTGCCTTGCATGATGGACCCCTGCTGTGCATTTGCCTTTGTCCCTTCCCAGCTCCCAATGACAAGATCAGTTTCATGCTTTGCAACTCTGTTCCCTTTTCCCAAAGGGCAAAACCAAAGCACAAATGCAGCATGGCAGGGGGATGTGAACTCCAACTTCATATCCCGGGGGGACAAATAAGGGAGTCCCAGTATTCTCACTATAAGTAGATTCTCCAGTTTTCAACACCTCCTCAAGAACTAGAGTCTATGGCCACCTAACAAACTGGACTAGCTGAGGAACCTAGACAATGCTCCCAGCCTCTCCAAACTCCACTCCACACTCAAGAGATGTGGCAGCATGGCACTGTCAAGTACCACAATGTTATGCTTCCTGCCCCAGCCCTGCACACATCTTGTGAGACCGCAGCAGCATCACCCTTTATTTGCCTATGGGGGCTCTGTACATCACAGCAGTGCAAATTCACAAGAGCACAACACAGCCTGTGCAAATCCTGGTAGTTCCCTTCAAAGCATCAGACTTCCCAAACATACATTATATACACAGTCTGTATCCTTATCTCCCCTCTGGGATGGGAAGACAACTGCCAGAAAATGGGCAATTATTCATTAGGTAATTCACACTGCTTGTAAGCAAGACTTAGTTATCCCCAGCAACAACTCACACATAGGTAAGAAAGTGACCCACACAAACTGAATTATGCTGGTGGTGACAACCCATATGCAGGCATAGTGTTTTCCTGAGGAGCAATACACAGAGTGACAACAGAGGGGCTGCAGGGAAAACAGCAGTAGCAAAAGGCATCAGCTGTCTCTGAATCCATGGTCTACACTGAAGAAGCCTCTGGGAGAAAGGGTTACACGGAGAATCCTGTCAAGCCACATATGGACTTCAGCAGCTGAGCAGCCCTAGTCTAGTTTATATTTGATAGGGATACCAAATACATTTTTGTATGAAAAAGGTCTTCAGGCTGAAGCTCTACAGCCCTTTTTCTGGGAGCATTACTTGTTACAGGCAATCACCACGCACGAGGCGTACTTGGTGGCTTCCAAAGCTAATCATTATTGCAACATGTAAGAGGCTGAAAAAAGTTTAAGTGTAGTATCCCAGCATCTAAAGGGGGCCTACAAGTAATCTGGAGAGGGATTTTTTTCAAGAGCATGTAGTGATATGACAAGGGGGAATGGCTTTAAACTGAAAAAGGGTAGATTTAGGCTACATATATAAGGGAAAAAATCTTTACTGTGAGGGTGGTGGGGCACTAACAGGCTGCCCAGAGAAGCTGTAGATGTCCCATCCCTGGCCAGGCCAGGCTGGAAGAAGCTTTAAAGGCCAGGCTGGAAGAAGCTTTTAGCAATCTGTTCCATTGGAAGGTGTCCTTGCCCATGGCAGGGGAGTTGGAACTGGATGAGCTTTAAGGTCCCTTCCAATCCAAACCATTCTATGACTTGTAAGCAGCTCTGAGCAGGCTTTGAAAGACTCCAGAAAGTTGTTCTATAAATACAGAGCATAACCTTGATTTAGTACAAGGTGCCAGACACTATGGAGTTACTTCATAAGACAGCATCCCAAAATGTAGCTGATGTATCAGATATGAACAGAAGGCATGAAATGTCAGAGGCATTTTAACTCTCCCCCTCCCACAGTCAGGAATCTGACAAGTGCAAGCTATCAGGTAAAAAGGAGCCTGAATGCCAAGCACTGCAGCTCTCATCCCTTCAGAATCTCCAGATAAACCAGCTTTTGCAGTCAACCAGCCAGGTTAGTACCTGCACCCTCTAACAAAGGCACCTCAGATATATGACTGCAGGTGGTCAAGGTCACAGAAGAAAGCAACAGTAGCCTGTATGGGTGTCCTCTAGCATAAGGAGAAAAAAAATAATAATTCTAATTTAACAGAAAAATGGAACTGGGCTGTGAAGGGGCCAGCTGGGAATAGAACAGGGGAGTTCCCAAGAGCTCCCAGAGTTGGTAGAAAAGAAAAACCAAAGTAAAATTTCTCTCGTTTTTTCCTACAGAAGAGGAAAGTACAGTTTGACAAGTGTGAAGTGCAACGTTAAATGACATGTAGATGACTCATTTTTAAATTATTACAAAATGCAAGGAGTTAGAGAAGTCACAGTTTAGGACAGTTCTTACTCTTAAGGCTCACACAGTAGAATGGAGTCTAGAAGAGTGCTAGAAGACTCAAATATGTAAGCAGACTTATCTCCAATCAGGCCTGGTATTTCCCCAAATTCTCAGCTGCATACACATGGAACACAAGGCAAACTGTAATGCAAATACAAGGTCATACTCCTAAGAACAGAGAAAGCTGGTGCACATCTGAAACCTGGGACCATAACCTGGATGGCAGCTACTTTCATGGAGGTGTTAGATCACTGACAAAATCACTTAACATACACCTTGCAGGCAGTGTTATGGCGAAAAAAACGTTTAGGGCGATCCCTGGACACCTAACAGGAATAAGCTTGCCTTTTTCTAGGTATGGTGAGATCAATATTAGAATACATAAACATTGGAACTATATGTAGAAGGTGCTAAAAAAGAGTGCCCAAGTGATTTAAGGGATAAAAACCAAATTGTCTTCAAGTGAGACTTAGGGATTTAAGTCTGTATAAATTATCAGTGAGGATGATTTATTTGAACAGAGTACCAGGCCAAGTGATGGATTCTCCATCATCCCCTTAAGTCTTTGCAAGATACTGAACACAGCAGAATCATTGCTGTGCACATTGCAGTGTCCTTTGGTAGCAGGAGGTTTTAAAAGATAGTATGAGGATATTTCTGGCCTTGAAAAAAAGATTCTGAAGGCTGTACTAAAGCTGAAGACTGAAATCTAAAGAACAAAAAAATAACATTTTAAACAAATAATGTATTTCCTATTTGAAGAAAACAACTTCTAGAGACTAAGCATTAAGAGTGGAAAAGCACAAGGATTTCCAAATGCCAGGTTATCATGACAGAAATTTTAAGTAGTAATTTAATTTCTATGAAATATTCTGTGCTCATTCTGTAATTGGGGAAAATTCATATGAATGTCAGTCTCACCTCCTACCAATTATGACCAAAATGTTGCCTTTTACTTCCCATCAGTGACACATGAGTACTGGCACTTTTATTTCAAAATTTGTATGCAAGGACAAAGTGAACATATTAGTAAAAGGTTGTGGTTAGTTAGGTAAACTCCCCATGGTAAATTTAGTTATTTCCTGATCTCACAGCTTAGTAAGACAGGAAAGTCTTCTGTCAGTCTCTACCTTCTTCTCAACATACAGCAACTCATTTCAAACTAAGAAGCAATACAAAAAGCTCCCCTTTTGCAATAAAGTAATTAATCATTGCCTGTTAACATCCTTTCCTACTTTTGTGTCACTTTCTAAAGGAATTCCCCATGCTCTTCTTCCAAACGTAGATACTAGGTGTAGTGTTAAGCAAACTCTTAACATCAAATAAACAATTTAATTTTATGCCTCACAAAGTAATGATTCTCTGCAAATCTTCACATACTTCCACCCTCAATCCCCTCCTCATATATGTAGAAAAAATAACATAGAAAAGGAAAACATAAAAAAGAAAAAATACATGTAGAAATGTGCGGGCAGAGGGTGGGGGGAGAGGAATCAGTAAAAGATTAGCAAGGCCAAGAACTGCAAATATAAAACCCACTCACATTAAAATTTGTTAATGCAATTAAGTTAACCATTCAGGTTTCAACAATAAGTTTCTACATGAATTACATGAGATACAAATAACAGAAACATTACGGCTAAATTCCAAACTTACATTTGTAAAATGCACAAGTATATACCTTTGAGGTAAACTTTCTAAATGAGATTAGGTAGACTAATAAGCCGATATGATGAGGAAGAGAAAAAAAATGAATTAAGAGAAAGAAAAAGAGCACACAGCCAAGGCTTCATCTGTCTGGTGTCTCCCTTATTCTACAAAAAGCTATTTTAGAGCAGAGACACCATTTTCTTCTAGAAGTGCCAAAATATATGCAGTGTGAAGTATCCTGTATATCCTTAGGAGCAAACAATAATTATTGATTTAACAATAGGCTGGAAGCAGATATCAAGCAGACTCTTAGGAATAAGGCTTCCAAGATCTCAAAGGTAGCTTTGTCTCCATAGAAGTCTCAACTTTTTCCAGAACCAGAACAAAGATGGAGACATACTACAAGAACAAAATTTCCTGAGTTAAAATTAATTCATTAGTGACAAGTTTGTAATAGCACCACATAATATTTTAGCCACGTACCAGCTTCAAAAGCCTGTTTAATTCAGGTAAGACAGAAATAGTTTTCTACATGGCAAAGCAGGACAGATTTCAGAACTATAATGAAAATTGATGACTATATTATGAAGCCAATGACACCAGCCACCAAGTATTTGAAGCCCGGTTACATGAGAGGCATCCTCAGAAAATACCAGCTAGACTCTTTGGGTTCTCTGATTTCCAGCAGTCACTGAAAACAGAAACAACTCAAGCACTGCAACACTTGTATGGTGTATTTTGTATCAAGTGTACACAGTTTAAGCCAACATAAACACTCAGAACCTGTAACCTAACAAGGCTGCATAATTTTCAATCATTCATCTTATTTCTCCTCTCCCAATATATCCATCCACCATAGGCAGGGAGATGCAGCTCTTCATCAGCTGCCGTTAAATCCAGCCTTGCTGCAGCTACAAGAGTCAGAAAGGAGTTTCTGCCCTTTACTTAAAGCACTGCAAGAACAGCAGAAGGGATGCTGCAGCTGGCATCATCTGCAAAAGCTGTGGCTTTCTCTGGAGGGAAATTCAGAAAAGAAAAAAAAGCCTAACTTGGAAACTCAGAATTGCCCTAGAAACCCCAATCATTTTCCATTAGCCAGGGAGGAAACACAGTCAGTATTCCCACGAGACTAAAGACAGCCTTTGTGAATGCCCCACCAAAGTCATCAAAGCTAATGCCCTTCAACTAATACTCCAGCAGAAAATAATCCTGCCTAGAAGAGGGGGCAAAAAAGTCCTGCCTGACAAAGTGGCAGCATAAAAAGAATTTATGAGAGGGGGAGGAAAAGGATGATAATAATGAACATTTCAGTAAACAGACTTGAGAGAGATTAACATTCAGTGTAAATAAAAAAATCACAGTAAAGT